CCTACAGAAATTCAAATGGTTGGGGGGTGGGGAGGGGCGAGGTTGTGGTTAGAACGCTTGGTTGAGTGAGTGCATCTGACGAGACGACGACGAAGAAGTGCTGCTGCAGTTAGTGCATCAGAGAAAACAAAGAAGAGCTGCTGTGCTGTAGCTTCAAATTTTCGGCATGTCTAGAACAATTCTTACAAGTATAACACGACGTAGCTGGGCGCCGCGGACAGATGCCGAACGGCGCCGCCAGTGTGCCTACACTCATAGAAAATAATGTATTTGAATTTAGTTGAACCACTGATGTAGTTGAACCACTGATGTAGTTGAACCACTGATGTAGTTGAACCACTGATGTAGTTGAACCACTGATGTAGTTGAACCACTGATGTAGTTGAACCACTGATGTAGTTGAACCACTGATGTAGTTGAACCACTGATGTAGTTGAACCACTGATGTAGTTGAACCACTGATGTAGTTGAACCACTGATGTAGTTGAACCACTGATGTCACATGGACTATTATATCGATGTCCTTACTACCTTTCTGGGCCTTGAATGTGGTAGTTGAATTGCTGTCTATGCAGGGTCAGAAAGCTCTGCAATTTCATCAAAAATATCTTAGTTTGTGTTCTGAAGATGAACGAAGGTCTTACGGGTTTGGAACGACATGATGGTGAGTAATTAATGACAGAATTTTCATTTTTGGGTGAACTATCCCTTTAAATGTCTTTAATGAAATATGCAATATTCTACTGAATGCGCTCGTAGCCTATCTGTATTTTGAAATTTCGTACATCGTTGTCTTTTCACTGACAGGTCTTTGGAGTCCAGGGGTTAACCAGTCTTGACCTCGGACTGACCTGCTGATCCATTCTCCCACCCTCTCTGCTCCTATAGGATGACAGAAGACCCAGAGGAGATCAGTGTAGACTACCCTTAGCTATTTATATGTTAGTGGAACGATCTCAAAACATGTAGACCTCAAATATGCTATTTTCCCTGGCCATGCAGGGGGAGAGACTGTATAGTGCATTTGGTCTGTCTTGAGTCAAATTTTCTATTGTGTTCTTATGTGGACCCTGCACCCTGTGATGTTCTCGGGGGTTGTGTGTGTCTGTTAGCACAGAAGAGAACTTTAAAAATTGGCTGCCTAGTGCAAATACAGAGTGTGTGTACTTATAGGACTTTGTGTCTTTTGCCGTAGGATTATTGCTGAACTGAATGGCATGATGGCTCCTACGTAGACCATTATTCATTCGTTCACGTATCAAGTCTGTGTTTCAGAAAACATGCATTGACAAAAGAGTTAAAGCTATGCATCCCATTTCTGTAAGTATTCTTGTATTATGTGTGCTGCTCTGTGTGAACTACATCAGGAGTACACAAACACTGTTATTGCAGAAGACACTTCCTGAATGAACAGATTGCTCTGTACAAAGCATGCCATACTCAAATAGGGTCGTCATGACAGTGTGCTGCTATGAGTGGCTTTGCGCTGCCAGTCATAGTGCCTATGTTCAATGCTTGAATTTTTGAGTTTATTTATATATTTATTCATACATTAAAACCAACAATGTAATTTAATAGTCTGGTGAGTTAATTTATGCCCACAGATTATAAACATTTACCATGATCACCAAAGTTTTGAGAAAATATAACTATTTCATTCGTTTACCATATACCTTTTATTTGTATTCTTTTTGTAATAATGAGAGTGAGCATTTGTTTTGCGTTATGGTTTATTATAATTTAATTGTCATTAAATTCAATTTCAAATTTAATTTTCATTGTCATGAAAATATCACAATGTACTTTAGTTTCTTTCTTTTAATTTTTGGAGTTAAATTTGACTGGGCTAGGACTTGTTTTGATAGATTTTATTAAATTCATCTGTAATGTGAATGACCCTAATAAAACCACTTTCACTTACAAAAAAAAAAAAAGAAAAGAAAAATAAATATTGTAAAAGCTTCTTGCACTGCTAAGACGATCCTAGTATCCAGTACCTGCCTATATATAATAATTATAGAAACGACTACGTTATTTATTTGCTTTTATTGTTTCATCTTTTTTTTTTTACTGTTTAGGTTCACGTTTCTCGGGAAAACTCTCATATGATCGAGGACTAACATTACTATTTGTTTAATTTCTCTTCTTGGACGCGCGTTCGTTTCCATAGCAGCAGAAACGCGTAAACTAGGCAGACTCCATTCCTATGGATGGAGGCAGCATTATCTATGACCAAACACGGAAAGGGTCTTATCAGTAATATTTCACTTGTCTAATTTTCGACGGAAAGGAGTTCCTGTATCTATTTGGTTGTTTATTTTCAATTTTTGCGAGGGAGTGTATGAAGCAAATGGATAACCAGAGACGAAATGTCCAAACCAGCACAACCATTGGACACACGCATCTGCAACCTTTTCCGTTTTACTTTAAAACTTGCAAGGTAAGTTAGGCACGAGAAACATCAAACTTGGTTACCAACCAAGTTTGTTTTATTAACTTTTACAAAAATCATGGTAACCATAGTTACAAGAGGAGTTGTTACTACAGTTAAGCTGGCAGCTTGCTTTTATAGCAACTTACTTAACCGAAAACGAAACTGAACAAAAATAACTTAAAGGCACAATATGTCATTTTCGCTGCTAGAGTGCGCGTATTCAAAATAAAGAGACAAAGGTGTAGTTTGATGATGCCTGACTTGTGGAATCATGGGAGTTGTGGTCTTCATCCCCACAGCCGATGCAATCCGACGGGACTCGGGCAGAAATCATGTTCATGGATGAGCTCAGGGGCGTAGATTACGCGGGGGACGCGGGAGACGTGTCCCCCTAACTTTTAATATCACGTAAATTCGTCCCCCGCACTTTTTCGGGCAAGTGTGTTCGCATAGAGGTTTTCAAGAGCCGGTGTGAATTACACAAGTCAGCAAAATATATAACACTGTTCTAGTGTCTTTTGGATATTTTAATTAAAAAAATCTTACATATTGTGCTTTTAACAAAGAGTTTAGTATGTCTGAAGGACGCCAAGGAAAACAATGGTTGTAGAGTTAGGCTTTATCAGAAACTGTAGTTAATATTGTGTTTTTGATGTTCTTATTTAGAGCTTTTATGCCATGCTATGTACTGCATATATGGAAGACCTTGTTAGTATATTAATAGCATCGTAAACCTCAGGTTTAAAGTGTCCTAGACTTTAACCTTTCTTGTTGACTGGCCTAATGGTACAGAACCGAAGAAACAAGATGTGATACTATAGATACCTTCAAATGCCTTCTTGTCACTGCCCCAGAATGCCCCTCTTCCTCCAGTCCTCCAGCGTCAGAACAAAGTTCCCGCCTCTGCTCACTTCTCTCTCACCTCGCACACTGAGCATGACAGAAAGCCACTGAATGGATCTCTGTACAATGAAATCCACTCTAAAGCCCCTGAGCACTGGACCACACACTTCCTCAGCGAGCTGGCCAGAGGGTGAGATGTGTGTGTATCTTTGGAGATTTTGGTAGGTTTTTGAAACTAAATGTGGTAAAATACATACTGGTAAAAAATGTATAGCCTGAATGCACTGTAAGTCGCTTTGGATAAAAGCGTCTGCTAAATGCATGAATTTAATTTAAATTTAATTTAAATTTATGAATTTCTTTCTGTATATCATCCATATGTGTCTGTTTGATCCTCTGCAGCTCAGCCAACAGTGAGAGTGGTCTCTAATCCTATCAGTGAAATGCAGGACCGCTACAGAGGTCAATTAGCAGCACGTGAACCTCCGGCTGAACACTTTAGCATGATGCAGGTGAGATAAAGAGGCTGAACATTGTAGGCTCAGGAAAAATTTCTACTTGTCCATCCTTTTCTTTAGAAAAAAAAAACAAAATCTGAGGCTCTTACAATGAAAGTGACATGGAACAGTCTGTAAACATTAAAATACTCACCGTTTTAAAAATATAGCCACATGATATACATCTTGCACATCTATCAGGCCTATTAATGCAAGTACTTTTATAAAATTTCATCCATAAAATCCCAAAAATTGAAAATGAGGGATAAATCATTTTTTCAGTAATCAACATTATGCCACAAATGCTGTCGATTGAACCTAAAGGGATAGTCCACCCAAAAATGATATTTCTGTCATAATTTACTCACCATCATGTCTTTCCAAACTTACATGACTTACTTTCTTCTGCAAAACACAAAAGAAGATATTTTGAAGAACATTGGTAACCAAATAGTTGTCATAACCACTGACTTCGATTGTATGGGCAAAAAAAAAATAAAAAAAATCATCTTTTGTGTTCCACTGAAGAAAGAACGTCGTACAGATTTGTAAAGAAATGAGGGAGTGTAACTGAAGTTTACCCAAAAATCATCTTTCATTTGTATTGAACTAAAAATATTTCTTTAATTAAATGGTTACACTTTATTTTAAGCTGTCCTTGTTACAGTGTAGTTATTCATTTAAGTACTGAGTAATATTAATTAACTAAATGTTCTTACCATATGGTTAAGATTAGGGTTTGGCTTATGGCTACTTGCATGAAATTATGCATAATAAATTGTTATTATAATAGTAAGTTCATGTAACCTGTAACAAGGAGACCTTAAAATAAAGTGTTACAGAGTAAATTTGGCACTGAGAAACACGCAAAGCTTTCTTTTGGGGGGGGTGGAGAATAAAATGTATTTTTGAAATGTTAGGCAGTAGGGACCTTCATCAATATTTTAAAAAATGCTAATTCATGCAAAGTATCTTAATGGATGGCTCTCATAGCCATGAGGATTCAGTAGCGCTCTACAGACAGCAGTTTTATCTCCACTGGAGCTTCTAGGCTGATGGAATGACTCACACTTCTCTTGATTTTAATCGGGCACTGTACAGACAGCTGGAAACGGCTCAAACGGCGTTTGTGCAGGAACCAGTATGTAGTACAACCACGACCGACTTCAAGCACTTTAACAGGTAACTCTCCACCACCAGAGGGCGGTGTGTATGCACTGATGGATTATATGCTAATTCTGAAATCTGAGGTCAGTGGTGGATTCTCAAAAGTGATGAGGGAGATCAAAGGGTTTACTGACGTGATTCCATCCCAAGATGTAAGTGTAGGGTAATTTACTATTTGAGCAATCTGCTTCTAGATGCCATTAGAGCAAAGCATCCATCACCAGAACATCAGGGTAAAGCTGAAATCTGGCCTATAGTGAATCATGTGCAGCTCCAAGTAGTTCCTGACTTTTGACTGTGTATAGCAGCAGAACGGATATCTTGCATTGCTTGATTATTTAGAATTACGGTGCATGTAACACACTCTACACAGGTTATCTAACTCAACCAAAAATGTCTTTACACACGGTCACTTTAACAAACAGTATGTTTAGGGTCAGAACTGATTGCAAAACTGTTTTTTAGATGATGTAAAGGAATAGTTCAACAAAAAATAAGAATTCTTTCATTTACTCGCCCTCATACCGTTCCAAACCTGCATGATGTTCTTTCTTCACTGAACACAAAAATGTTACTATTTGTGCATACAGTATTGTTTTGGGCCCCATCTTCTTTCATTCTGTAAACAAAGCCTGTTGAAACATTCTTCTTTTATGTTCCATAGAAGAAAGTCATAAGTTTGTAACAACATGAGGGTAAGTAAATGATGACAGAATTTTAATTTCTGAATGAACTATCCATTTTATGGTCATTAAGCTTAAGGTTCATCCAGCTTTGAATTTGCAGCATTAGACAGATGCTTTATTTTTCACGTTGGTCTGCTGCAGGCCTTATTAAAATGATTTAGTGAAGCATTGCTCATCTCACCTTCTGGCCTGGCCTCCTGAACCTGGTCAGCTCTTGATTGGTGGGCAGCACTGAAGGTCACAAACACTCATTGA